TTGAGCAGCCAACACAAATATTGTGTAGCTTCTAGCACCTTTCGCCCCCACTGGCTACCAGCTCTAGATAGACTGAAACTCAGGGTAGGCCTTGTAGCCAGGAGAAACCCAGGAGCAACCTGGCTCTGTCCTCCAAAAAGGTACATCCCCAGGCAAGGGGCAGTGCTCCAGACTCTTGGCACCATCCCAGACATTGTTCGCATGCCCGGCCTCCTTCAGCATAGACATAAGAACCTGCCCTGTCCTGCTGTGGCTGAGGACAACTCTGTCCTTCCGTTAACTGCTGCAACCGGAATCCTTAGTCATCGGTCTCCTCACTCTCCTCCACCCCCTTTTGTGAGCATAGGCCAGCTGTCCTAGTGGCATGGGACTGTCCTTCTGAATCACCCTGGGTCCCCTCCTTCACTGCCTGCCCTGGCCCCATGAGCCACCTGTCACCCCTGCAGTATCCACTGAGCAACCCAAGTGGCTCAAGGGGAACTGACCCTTCAGCTGTTTTTGTTACTTCAAAAGACACATCCCCCCTCCTGCCTGGGCATGGAAACCAGAGATCCGTGATGTGCGAGTGTCCTGGGGTTGCTAACAAAGGCCCATGACCTGGGGGACTTAGAAAACCAGGGTTTATTCTTGCTTGGTTCTGAAGTCCAAGGTCAAGTTTTGGGCAGTGCTGGGTCCTCCTGAGGCCATGAGGCATGGTCCATCCCAGGCTTCTCCTAGCTCCCAGTGGTGGTCAGCATCCTGGGTGTTCCTTGACATGTAAAGCATGACCCTGATCTCTGCCTCCATCCTCAAGTGGTGTCCCTGTAGCTCTTCTCTTCTTATAAGGACATCAGTCCTGTTGGACTGGGGCCTACCCCCCAGCACAACTTCATCCCAGCTAATGACATCAGCAAAGACTCTTTCCAAATAAGGTCATGTTCTGAGGTTACTGCAAGGACATGAATTTGGAGGGGACAGGGCGGCACCTGTGGTTCAGTGAGTAGGGCGCAAGCCCCATATACCGAGGGTGGAGGGTTCTAACCCAGCCCCGGCCAAACTGCAACAAAAAATAGCTGGGCATTGTGGTGGCTGTAGCTGTCATCCCAGCTACTCGAGAGGTTGAGGCAAGAGAATTGCCTAAGCTCAAGAGCTGGAGGTTGCTGTGAGCTGTGACACAATGACACTCTACTAAAGGCAACAAAGTGAGTCTCTGTCTCTTAAAAAAAAAAAAAAATTGGTGGGGGACACTCTCAAGCCCTGTGCCCCCAGGTGTATGGTGTGGGACTGAGCACTCTTAGAGTTCTTCTCCCCAGCCCTGTCTGACTAGAGGCACCTGACATGCCAAGCAACTTTGCAGCTGGCTCCTTCAGGCTTGATAGGGCTGCCATGTATCTGTCTTTCTGATTCAAACTGGCCTCAGTGTCACCAGAGCAGAATCATGGCCTCCCTTGCTGACAGCCTCAAGTCACCTGTACTGTGCATGTAGCTGGGTTTTGAGGCAGCAGTGTGTCCCTGGTACTGGACATGCAGATGGAGGCCAGGGGCACTGGCAGGGACAGTGGTTCAGAGAGGGTGAACGGGGCCTGGGCATCTGTGACCCAGACCTAGGTTTTAATTTCCTCCTCCTTCCACTAGACCTTAGGTGAGTTAATTTCTCTAGGCCCTACTTTCAGCATCTTTAAAGCAGAGGGGTCTCAAGGGAGGTATTTACAGTATTATCTTCATTTTGAATCTCCCTCCAAGCTCTGTCCTTGGGAGCATTTTTTTTTCCCCAAATGGGATCCTCCCCTCTTACACTTCACCTCACTGATACATTGGATTCCTTCCTTTCCCCTGATAGGAGAAGGGGATCAGGAGGGGAGAGAGACCAGCCTTGGTCCCTAAACTTCCAGAAATGCCCTCCCATACCCACCTTTTCTTACTCACAAAAACGTAATATCCCTGAGTTATGTGGGAAAGTATGTATTGCTACTTAAGTGGGTCATTTCGTTCCCCAGAGAGGGGACAGGACACCCTCTCTTTTTTGCAACATCTCATTTCTTCCTTTTGCTTTTGCCTTTTTTCTCCTTATGTTTGGTTTTGTCCTATCCTATACTTCAGATTTCTATTTTGTGTTGAATTTGCTGCTTTTTTTCATATTGAAAAGATGACATTGCCCCAAGAGCCAAAAAAAAAAGGGAAATGGAAAAAAAAAAAAAAAAAGAAAGCAGAGGGGCCCTTCTCCTGTCGCTTCGCTGGCAGTGTAAGGCCATGATTTACCAGAGGCAAGAAAGACTTCTCCCCTCTCCTCGCTAGTGTCCATACCCAGCTCGGTGCCCTCTGCAGCAATAGCCCTTCCCACTCTGGCTTCAGTGCTCACCTCCTGCCTGGCCAACACTTCCTCAAACCTTGGCCAGTTTCTCCTCCACATTGTCCTGGCCTCTATCCTGCCTGTCTGCCTGACTCTGTCTACACAGCCACCTTTCCCCCTGGCCTCAGCCAGGCATCCAGCCCAGGGGAAGGAGGGGACAGTGCCCCTCGTGTGTGGAGCAGGCCCAAGCAGAGCCAGTTTCTCTGTGGGTTTGTAACCTTGGCTGAATGCCTGGCAGGTACCCAGGTGGCATAGAGGAGAGGTCATGCCCACCGGAGGGCCTGCCCGAACACCTAGCCCCACAGTGTTGGGAGTAGAGCCTTGGGGTACCCAGTGAGGTGAGCAAGGCCATGACCAGAGGGCATGGTCAGAATTCCACATCACTCTGACCTGTTGTCTTCTCGTCTGTGAAGGAAGAACAGAATAAATCCCTGGCACTGTCAGCTTTGCACTGTTGCCAGCCCCTCTGTGCCCACAATGCCTGGATGATGCTGCCATTGTAATGCCAACAGGGAGATTCTCTCCGTCACCAGCAGCTTCTGTACTGAGCCCTAAACAACATTGCCATTTTCTTCTTCCATACAGAAGCACAGTGGTTTCATCCTGCCTGTAGGACCTTTGCTCTGGCTGTCCTCTCCCTGAAGCTCCCTCCCCCTGCTCCTCTTCATCCCAGACTGAGCTCAGATGTCCACTCACCTTGCCAATCTGTACCCCCATGTATTAACTCTAAGCCACTCTCTTCAAGAACGGGGACCAGGTCTAGTGTGGATACCCACAATTTGAGCCCTGCAGCTGCCATGACAAATCACCACAGACTTGGCCTAAGATAGCACACATCTCTCAGCTCACAGTTCTGGAATTAGAAGTCTAAAATGGGTCTCAGTGGGCTACGTCAAGGTGTGGCAGGGCTGGTCCCTTCTGGGGGCTCAAGGGGAGAACCCATCTTTTGCCTTTTTCAGTGTCTGGAGGCCACCCACATCCCTCAGCTCAGGCTCCTTCCTCCACCTTGAGAGCCAGCAGCGCAGTATCTTCCTGTCTCTACCTCTGACCCTCCTGTCTCCTTTGACCCCATGATGACACTGGGCCCCCTGGGTCATCCAGGATCATCTGCCATCTCCATTAAGGTCTTTAATCACAGCTACAAAGTCCATTCCAGGGATTAGAATGTGGAAAGCTATGGGGGGACATATTCTGCCCACCATATTCTTTGAACAAATTATTCTTTTTTTTTTTGGCAATTTTTGGCCAGGGCTGGGTTTGAACCTGCCACCTCTGGCATATGGAGCTGGCACCCTACTCCTTTGAGCCACAGGCGCCACCCTGAACAAATTATTCTTTTTTCTTTATAAGAGGAAGGGCTTTATTCATCAGCCAGGAGTTTACGGCATAGATTTCCAAATGGCCGCACTCCTGACTGGCTTGGTCTTTCCCTTTTTGTTGATAGTCAAAAAGTTCCACACCAGAGGTACCCTTCTCATTGGCCAGTTTGAATCGAGCGGGAGATGCTAGTCCGGATCCTACAGAAACAAATTATTCTTTTTTTTTTTTGAGACAGAGCCTCAAACTGTCCCCCTGGGTAGAGTGCTGTGGCATCACACTCACAGCAACCTCCAACTCCTGGGCTCAAGCGAGTCTCCTGCCTCAGCCTCCCAAGTAGCTGGGACCACAGGCACCCACCACAATACCCCACTATTTTTTGGTTGCAGCCGTCATTGTTGTTTGGTGGGCCCAGGCTGGATTCAAACCTGCTACCTTAGGCTGGCGCCTTAGCCACTTGAGCCACAGGCGCCGAGCCAAACAAATTATTCTTAATAGAAGTCTGTTTTCTAGATGAAGACCTGAGGCCCATAGAGGCCAGTGGGTGGCCCAAGGGTCCACACTGGGGAGTGGGATGGGAGGGAAAGTCCTGAGAGATTTGCTTGCTCTCCCACCCTGGCAGGCACCTGGGTATCCCCTAGAGCTATAGCCTGGGCACTGCTTCAGGCCCCTGACCAAGGCTGTGGGACCAGGAGAGCAGCAGGGCTGGGAGTGTCCTCATCAGTTTCCTGCCACCTCCTTTTTCCTTCCACAAACCCCTCCCTAGAGCAGAGCAGAAAGGGCTGGTGCCGTCACTCTAGCTCCAGGGCTCTCAGCAGTTCCCAGCTGACCACAGCTGCCTCTGTCCTGGGCCTACCCCATGGTACCACAGGACCCCTGGGCAATGAGCCATGAGACTTTGTTCAGAGTCATTCATTCCTTTGCTACCAGGACCTGACCCCTGGTGGTGCAGGAGTCAGAGTTGGGGAGGTTTGCATCCTACTGCTCTTTCATGGCAGGTCCCAGCCCCACCCCGGCCTCAGTGGATGCCCAAGTCCACTCACCTTGCCCAACCTGGGTATTGCAGCTGCTTGTTCCCTGAGGCTGCAAAGCCACCTACCTGCTGTGGGAGTTCAGCAGCTCCTGCCAGGGTGACCATCACAGGCCCCAGAAGTCCCTACTTGAGGTGACTGTCACAGGCCCTACTACCCCACCTTGTCATGTTTTTTCCCAAGGCAGTCACTTGGCAACTTGAGTCACTTCCAGGGATTCAGAAAGTTGAGGGAGGTGGGCTGAGCCTGTTGGGGGAAAGCAGCTGGAGTCCCAGGCCCACATGGCCATATCTCCATTCTGAAGTCTCACTTCTCTCCCTCAGGTTTGGCTCAGAAGAAGGCGGCCCCAACAGAGGTGAGTGTTCAGAGAGGATGAAATGTCCAGGGGATCCCAACTTGATCTGAGCTGTGTGGCCTTGGGCAGCTAGCTCACTGCATGTTTCTGGGCTCCAAGTGCTACCACTGTAGTCTGATGGGGTGAACATTGTGTCTATCCTGATGGCATCTAGAGTTGCAGGGGCAGAATTCAGATTGGTATGGGGGTTCCATACAGGTCCAGGGGTGGGGGGAGACTGCAGGGAGGACAGCTTCTCTTGTTCCAGACCACAACACTGATGTGTATCCACTCTAGGTGGCCAGACCATGGATTTAGCTGGAAGCGTCGCCCTTGGGGATTGTTCCTGGTGTTGCTGAGGTGGCTGGTAGCACCAAGGCACTCAGGGATAGAGGGAGGGATTGGGAATAAGACACCTAAAGGGCAAAGTCCCAGGCCACTGGCTCCACCCATGCGCTTCATCCCAGAACAGTCACAGCATCCTGTGACTACACAGGGTGTAAATGCACAATGAGACTATCTGCACCTGTTTCTATGTGTGTGGTCACGGTCCTTTCTGCTCCCACTGCCCACTGTCACCATCCCTTCTAGAGTCTGTTCCAGAGGCTTTTCTCAGCTGTGGCCATTTGCAGCTCAGAGTAGGCATAGGTAGGAAGGTTACCCTTCCTCTGGGGAGCTGAAGCTGGAAGCAAAGGGCGGGCCCATGATCCCTGCTTTCTGGTGGCAGCCCAGGGCATTGTGTCCCTAAGACTTGCAGACTCCTGACACAGGAGTCAGTGTGGCCATGTCCTTCCTTGCGATGCAAGTTGTTCTGATGTGGTCCTAACACACTGATAGCACTGGGATGGTGCTATCCACCTGGCTGGGGACCTTGCTCAAGTCTACTGTGGGAAGGGGTAACAGGGAGCCTGCCGGGGTGCAGAGCAGCTTGGGGTCTGTTCTTGGGAAAAGCCTGCCCCCTGATGATCAGCAAGAGAGCTAGCGGGAGCTGAGCAGAGCAGAGATCACGGCTGAGAGGGCAGGAGAAGGGCAAGTGTGCTTGAAGATTCCTGGCGCCCATGGTGGTAGAATGGCTGGGTGGGGTGGGCAAGTGCCCAGTCGACCTGGCAGAGGGCTTCAGGGCTCTTGGATGTACACAGAAGGTGCTCCCTTAATGGGCTGGCTTCTGTACCCTTCCAGGCTCTAGTGACCTTCCTCATATCCTCCCACAGTATAATGGATCATATCCACCTGCTGGGACAGCCTTTGCTGCCCAACAGCTAGCAAAAGCTGGGCCTCTGGAGGAGCTGCTGTGGGCAGTCATTCCAGCCTGGGGTCTCACTAGGAAGTCCTGTCCTCTGTAGATACCAGGGAATGTCTGGAGACATCTGTGGTTGTCATGGTTGGGGGCTGCTGTGGAATGGGGTGAGTAGAGGCAGGGATACTGCTGAGAATTCTGCAGTGCCCAGGATACCCCAGAGAATGGATGGTCCAGCCCCAGTATCCACAGTTCCCCAGGGAGCCCCTCAGTATAGCTGGGTGGGACAGCCTGGTTGTCCTGCTTTTCTGGAGAAGCCACAGGCCTTGGTAATGGTGTCCTGTGTTAGATACCATGAGCCCTGACTGCCCACTGGGCAGTGCCAGAGAGCGGCTTCCTGCTGCACCTGGAGTTTCTGGTACCTGCCCCCTGCCCCCACACTCCCACTGAGCCTAGTGACTAAGCCCTCTTTCCTGCCAGGGCTTCCAGAGTGTGCTGGTCCTGGTGGTGATGCCTTCTTGGTGACTTCATGCTTCCTGCTTCCTCCTTCCTAGGCCCTGTCAATGACTGGACAGCCAGGCCCTGGCCATGGGAAGAAATTGGGTCATCGAGGTGTGGACGCATCTGGTGAAACCACCTATAAGAAGGTTCCTTAGCTGCTCTTGGCTGCCTTCGGGGGGGAGGCAGTGGGGAAGGAGATGAAGCCTCCAGCTCACATGCTCACACAGGGTCTTTTCAAGCTCAGGGCAGGTCTGTGGCCATGTCTGGTTTGAGACAGATGCTCTTGTGGACCCTCAGTCCCTAGGTGAGGTTGCCACGCTGGCTGTCCTCATTGCGTAGCTGAGGCTCAACCTGGCTGCTACACTGATCCACCTTCAGAGTTGAGTGACCTTGGGCAGTACCTCGGCCCCAGTGCTTCATCTAAAGAGAAGAAGCTGGCTCGGCGCCTATAGCTCAACCGGCTAAGGCGCCAGCCACGTAGACCTAAGGTGGTGGGTTCGAATCCCCAGCCCGGACCCGCCAAACAACAATGACGGCTGCAACCAAAAAATAGCCGGGCGTTGTGGCGGGCACCTGTAGTCCCAGCTACTTGGGAGGCAGAGGCAGGAGACTCGCTTGAGCCCAGGAGTTGGAGGTTGCTGTGAGTGTGATGCCACAGCACTCTACCCAGGGGGACAGCTTGAGGCTCTGTCTCAAAAATAAATAAATAAATAAATAAATAAAGAGAAGAAGCTCACAGCCTGCCTGGACAGTAGGTGGGTCACTCAGGCCCAAACCTTGTAGGCAGGAGGTATGACTGCTGTTGTTCGTACTCCTTTTTTTTTTAACATTAGCTTTATTGAGATACTATTCACATACTGTATAATCATTTTAAAGTGTACAGAGGGCCAGGCACAGTGGCTCATGCCTGTAATCCAAGCACTCTGGGAAGCTAACGTGGGTGGATTTCTTGATCTCAGGAGTTTGAGACCAGCCTGAGCAAGAGTGAGATCTCATCACTACTAAAGATAGAAAAACTAAGCCAGGCATGGTAGCTCACGCCTGTAATCCCTGCACTTGGGAGGCTGAAGAGGGTGGATTGCTTGAGCTCAGGAGTTCGAGATCTGCCTGAGCAATAGTGAGACCCTGTCTCTAAAAAGTAGCCAGGCGTTGTGCTGAGCGCCTGTAGTCCCAGTTACTTCGGAGGCTGAGGCTAGAGAATCACATAAGCCCAAGAGTTTGAGGTTGCTGTGAGCTATGACGCCTTGTCACTCTATGGAGGGTGATAAAGTGAGACTCTGTCTCAAAAAAAAAAAAATAACTAGCCAGACGTTGTGGCAGGCACTTGTAGTCCCAGCTATTTGGGAAGCTGAGACAAGATCTCTTGAGCTCAAGAGTTTGAGGTTTCTGTTAGCTATGATGCCACAGCACTTTACCAAGGGTGACAAAGTAAGACTATCTCAAAAATAAAATAAAGTATACAAGTGAATGGTTTCTGATACTATCTTTTTTTAGTTTAGTTTTGTTTTGTTTTAGAGACAGATTTTTATTTTGTCACCTCTGTAGAGTGCCGTCATCATAGCTCACAGCAACCTCTAGCTCTTGGGCTTCTTAGGCAATTCTTTTGCCTCAGCCTCCCGAGTAGCTGGAACTACAGGTGCCCGCCACAATGCCCAGCTATTTTTTGTTGCAGTTTGGCCATGGCCAGGTTCGAACCCACCACCCTTGGTATATGGGGCCAGCGCCCTACTCACTGAGCCACAGGCACTGCCATAGAGTTGTGTAACCACCACTTCTATCTAACTCCAGAACGTTCTCACTATCCAAAAGGAAGCCCATCCCCACTAACAACCACTCCCCATCCCTTCTGAATACTCTGGTGACCATGGATCCATTTCCTGTCCCCACGGATCTACCTGATCTGGACATTTCATATAAATGGAATCTCACACTGTGTGTCCTTCCGTGTCTGGCTTCTCTCGCTGAGCACGATGTCCTCAGGGTCCATCCGTGTTGAAGCCTATGTCAGAGCCTCCTTCATTTTTGCAGCTAATGTTCCCTTATATAGATAGAACATGCTGTGTTTGTCCATTTATCTGCTGACGGACAGTTGGGTTGTTTCTGCTTGGCTATTGCAAATGATGTTGCTGTGAACATTCATTTACAAGTTTATGTGTGGATGTATGTTTTTATTTCTCTTAGGCATATGTACCGAGGAGTGGAATTGCTGGGTCACATGGTAACTCTATGTTTAACCTTTTGACAAACTTCCAATCTGTTTCCCACAGGGATTATCTCATTTTACACCCACACCAGCAGTGAGCAAAGCCTGCCATTCCTCCACACTCTGACCAGCACTCATGATTGTCTCTTTGTGACTCTGGTTTGCTTTCTTCAGTTGCCCAAGAGTGTTGAGTGTCTTTTTACATTTATATGTCTTTGAACAAATGTCTGCTTAGTTCACAGAAACTTGAGGGAGTGGAATGTGGAGACCAGGCGAGGAGCCCTCCCAGGGTGGTTTATTAGGGAAAGTGAGCCAAGAATCAGGCCACTCAACAAGGAAGGAAGGCCTTGTCCTGTTGGCCAAGACCAACTCCCGACCTAGTCTCTGCCTACTCATACCCTCTGGGAGAGCACTGGGGGCCAGACTCAGAGACTGAGAGACGAAGTTATCTTTCTGAGTGTTAAGGTGCACACATCACTGAGGACACACAATGATAGCAGCATTAATAATGATACCTGTGATAACAGCCAGATGTGGTAGCTCACACCACCAGCACTTTGAGAGGCTGAGAGGGAAGATTGCTCAAAGCTGGGATTTCAAGACCAGTCTGGGCAACATAATGAGACCTCTATCTCTATAAAATGATAGGAAAAAATAGCCAGCCATGTTGGCATCTGCCTGTAGCCCTAGCTACTTAGGAGGCTGAAGCAGGAAGATTGCTTGAGCTCAGGCTACAGTGAGCTGTGATAATGTCCCTATACTTTATCCCAGGCAATAGAGCAAGAACCTGTCTCAAAAACAAACAAGTAGCCAACACTGTGGAGGCCCTGGCTTGAGTCCCTCATGGGAGCTAACACACAACATCTCCAGAGGGGTCCACACCGTATGCCTAGCCCTATCAGTCACATGGAGAGCAGGTAGAAAGAACCTAGGCTGTGGAAATGAACATGATCCAGGCATTGTGTACATTGGGCTACCCTAAAAGACAAAACCCTGTAGGTAAACCAACCCTTGCTGAGTTGGGGTGGTTGTGAAATGCCAGGGCCTTCTGGAACCTGTCTGAAAAACAGGCTTTGGGCCATACAAAATGTCTTCAAAGTCATGGCTGAGGCACTGTCCTGCTGTGGCCTGAGGGCAGATGGTTTTGCCTTCCTGGCCTGGTTTTTGCCCCTGCACTGGCAGCAGAATGGTCACAGTCTGGAAGGTGGCTGTTCTGGGGATCCCAGGGAAAGTGTGAGTGGGTGCTGGGGGGGTCAGCTATTGACCACTACCCTCCTGGCATAGCCAGAGGTATAGGGCTGTGTCAGGGACAGCCCCAGGGGTCCTGATATGCCAGGTCTCCCCACAGACCACCTCCTCCACCCTGAAGGGGGCCATCCAGTTGGGCATCGGCTACACCGTGGGCAACCTGAGCTCCAAGCCCGAGCGGGATGTGCTCATGCAGGACTTCTATGTTGTGGAGAGCATCTTCTTCCCCAGGTAGGGCCAGAGCCCACCCTGCAGAAGCAGCCTTGGGACGCTTTTGGGGGGCTACCTGCCAGACAGACATTATTCCAACTCAAAATAGACCCTTCTCTGCCAATAGTAGCACGAGGCCTCTCCTGGTGTCTTCTTGGCTTTGAGCTCTGATCCCATGTTAGTCAGTGTGTTAGCTTGATGCAGAATCGGAAAGACTCAATGTAAAAATAGTTTTAAAGGAATAGGAAAAACTAAAAGTCAGAGTTAATTCTCTTATGCAAAAATACCTGTAGGCAACCCAGGACTGGTAAAGTTGCTCTACACCGCCACTGGGGGCCAGACTCAGGGACTGGGAGACGGAGTCTTCTCATGCAACTTCTGTGATCAGTGATCCCAGGTGGCTGCCCAAGGTTCTGTTGGTCTTGGCCAACAGGTCTACATTCCAGTGGCAGGAAGGAAGAGAACAACATGCCCATTCATTCCCTTTAAGCCAGCTGTTCTCAACCTATGGGTTGCGATCCACAGGAACTGTATTAAAGGGCCGTGGCATTAGGAAGGTTGAGAACCACTGCTTTAAGGGCACAACCAGGAGATAATACATTGTTCCTGCCCCATCATGTCTCATTAGGTGAGTGCAGTCACATGACCACACCTGTCCTACAAAGAGAGGGCAGTGAGGTCTTCTGGCAGCCATATGTCCAACCAACATTATAGGTTCCATTGGGAATGAGAGAAAGGAGGGTGGTTGTTGGGGGATAGTCCTGTCAGGATCCCCATGTTGCTTATGGGATTGGTTCATTTAGAAGATATCTTGGGGCATCTGGAGGCACTACCCTGGGCCTGGGAAGGCCATTAGGAGGAGTAGAGAGAGGTGCCCAAAAAGCTATTGTCCCTCACGGCTGTCCACTGTTTCCTTCCTCCACAGTGAAGGCAGCAACCTCACCCCTGCCCACCATTTCCAGGACTTCCGGTTCAAGACCTATGCACCGGTCGCCTTCCGCTATTTCCGAGAACTATTTGGGATCCGACCAGATGATTACTTGGTGAGCATATCAGCTATTTCTGTGTAGCACTGGCTTCAAACAGCACATTTGTGATCTAGAAGTTCTGTAGGTCAGACTGTGGGTACAGCTTAGCTAGGTTTCCTTGCTTAAGGTTACAGTCCAGTCAAGGACCAGGGTCTCATAGAAGACTTGCCTGGGGAAGGGTATTCTCACAGACTCCCTCGTTGGCAGGACTCTGCCTGGCTGGCCACTATCCAAGGGCCAGGTTAGGCATCTTCCTAAAAGCATGAAGGGGCATCCAGTAGCCAGACACACATTATGGTCATATTGACTGCCCATCTCCTTTGCTGTGTTTTGTTGGTTAAAACAAATAATGGTTATGCCCATGCCCAAGGGGAGGGGCCTAACATTGGGAAGTGGGGACTAGCTTAGAATTGGATCTCCTGGGTTCTGGCTGTGGTTTGTTTGTTTGTTTGTTTGTTTGTTTGTTTTTGAGACAGTCTTACTCTGTTGCTTCAGGCTAGATTGCTCTGGCATCATAGCTCACAGCAATCTCAAACTCTTGGGCTCAGGCAATTCTCTTATCTCAGCTTCCTGAGTAGCTGGGACTACAGGTGCCTACCACAACTTGTACCTGGCTAGTTTTTCTGTTGTTAGTAGAGATAGGGTCTCTCTCACTCTTTCTCAGATTGGTGAGATAGGGTTGGTCTCAAACTCCTGAGCTCAAGCAATCCACCTGCCTTGGCCAGAGAGTGAGGATTATATGCATGAGTCACTATGCCTGGCCCTTGGCTGTAGTTTTATTTTCTCAAATTAGAAAAATCAAAATCGGGTGGTACCTGTGGCTCAGTGAGTAGGGCGCCGGCCCCATATACCAAGGGTAGTGGGTTCAAACCTGGCTTCCGCCAAACTGCAACAAAAAAATTGTGGCAGGTACCTGTAGTCTCAGCTACTCAGGAGGCTGAGGCAAGAGAATCGCGTAAGCCCAAGAGCTGGAGGTATTAGGACTTGTAAGAGTCACAGAGAGGTGTGCAGACACGGCTATGTCTTGAGTTCTGAGGCTTTGTCCTGAGTTCATGAGTCATAGCTCCATATCTAAAAGTTCTGGGTGGTCTTTTTCCAAATTTGCCTGGTCATTGTTTTATAATTTTGTGTTAGGGAAAAACTTAAAATCTATAGACAAGTGGGTCTATAATCATTTGAAGCACTGTATCTGTTTATTGCAGTATCTGTAGTCCTTGGGAATATGCACCTGTGGTTCTGCTAATGTGACTGGATTCTCACATATCATGGTTCATTTGCTTCTGCCTTTGATAGTGGTTGACTATACCTATATATTTGGGTTAGTCTGTGGGATAGCTGTGTCCTCAACTGAGACTGCCTTCTCCAGCCAAGGGTATGCATAACCACAGAGGACCCCCGTCTCATTTGGGTACCCAGGAATCACTATTCCTCTCACCAAGGCCCAGGCTCCAGATTGCAATTTCCTAGCACTGTTAAGACAAATGATTTGTGTGTAGCTTGGTGTTCTTGCATAGAAACGACCTTTAGAGGTTTAAAAAAAAAAAAAAGAAGCATTATAAGAGAGATGACAGTTATTTCAAAGATGACAGAAATTTGTTATTGTATTTAAATTCAAAGTTTACAATTTTTCATATTAGGTTATATTTTAACATACCACGGGAAAAGGTTTCAAAAGACAAAACAGTGTGATAAAGAATTGTAACTCTGGGCCCAGCACCTGTAGCACAGTGGTTACAGTGCCAGTCACATACACCAAGGGTGGCGGGTTTGAACCTGGCCCAGGCCAGCTAAACCACAGCTAAAAACAACTACAACAAAAAAATAGCCAGGGGTTGTGGTGGGTGCCTGTAGTCCCAGCTACTTGGGAGGCTGAGGCAAGAGAATTGCTTAAGCCCAAGAGTTTGAGGCTGCTGTGACCTGTGCTGCTATAGCACTCTACCGAGGGCAACATAATGAGACTCTGTCTCAAAAAAAAAAAGCTACACATGAAAGGTTTAATCAAAATGTATTCTGCATTTATTTAAAGAGTACTTACTAACTGCCAGGTATCATGATAGACGCTTAATAAAAATTGTTGACCAAACAAAATAAAAAGAAATGACCCTCAGGTTACCCTGACACTGGTTGTCTGATTGCCAGAGTGGAAATTCATGGCATAGTTCATAGTAGTGGAGAGACAGATAAAAACAGAGGCAGGCAATGTCTAGGTCTTAAGCCAGCCTCAGAAGTCTGGTATACTCCCCATGTATGCATGGTAGCTCTGAACTGGTGACCCTTTAGCCCTGATTTATTTTGCCCATCCTAGGGTGATGCAGGTAGCAGCCCCCACCACTGTCCATGCCATGGCATGAGTGTGACCTTGTAATGGCAGCAGGAGTACAGGACGGCATATGTTTTGCCTCCACCCATGTGGCCCAGTGTTCCTGAGCCAGAACGGTGAAAACCGCAGTTGGGGAGGCTCTGGATTTGTCCATGCTTCACTCTGATTAGACAGTTGTGGTCATAACCCCCTCTTCCAGTAAAAGGGGCAGCCCCAGCTCAGGACAAAAGAAGGGAAAGGGTCAAATGGGGGTGCTAAAAACAGTAGGTCTTAGACCGTCCCAGTTGGTCAGCTGGAGCATGGAGAGGTGGACCTTGGTTAGCCCAGCAGCATGGCCACCATGAGGCTCTCCATTCCTAGCACTGGCAAAGGGGTCCCATCCTGGGTTGTCCTGCTGCTGCCTGGAAATCTACGTGTGTGGCCTGTTCCTTGAAGGCAGCTGCTGTTGGCCCCTTGGTTCCAGAACTTTCTCTCTCATAGATTTCTTTTGTATCAAATTGAATACACCGATTCTGCAGCTTTTTCCATTTTGGAGAGGCTGTAATGATTTGTGCCTTGTGGAGGAACATTCAGGCTGCTTGTGGCTTCCCCATCTCAGGTAATCTGGGATAGCAACTGTGAGCTCTGAAGGGGGCTTCCTTACCTTGCAGGATGGGTACTAGCCACAGGAGAGAAACCCCTGGTCCCAGAGGACAATCTGTGGGTCTCGTTTTCACTTTCTTGCTTAACAAAATAGCACTTACTATGTGTCTGTGAAGAAATTTACACAGACACCTGCTTCCATGAGACTTCTCACCTAATAGCTGAGAGGGGTATATGCGGGAGAGAGAGAGATAGTGATCACATAGGGAAGCAAATGTAAGTAATGGAGAAAGTGGGGAAGAGATGGGGAGTGAGTGCTGGGTGCTGAGGTTGTGAGGGGCCAGGATGGGAACTGCCCATCAGAGACACAACATCCTCTCTCTTCTCCTGTCATTGGTACACAATTTTCATTTTGAGAGTCACCTCATGGTCCCACATGGCTGCTGGGGTTCCAGCTATCCCATCAGTGTTCCAACAGGGAAATAGAACATAGAGAAAGGCAGAAAAACAAGCAGGTATACCAGCTGTCTGTCACACATTGAGGGAGCCTTCCCTGAAGTTCACTCCATAGTTCTGCTCATGCCTCACTGAACAGAGCTGACAGTGCAGCCACATCCAGCCTCACGTCTCAGGCAGGTGAACGAGCATTGCAATACAGTCAGATGTCTCATGCTAACAAGAGGGGAGACAGCCTGGGGCACATGCCATCAGTCAGCACTCAAGCCACGGTGTCAGCCTAGGTTCTAGTCCTTGGCATGTGGCCTGGGCAAGTCACCCCACCCATCCAGCCTCTTGTTTCCTCTTCTGTAAGTGGAGCTTACACTGGTCTGGTTCCTGGGGCTACTGGACAGATTAGAAGCTAGCTCCTGTCTGTCATCCCAGACCTGCTTACTACCCACCTGCCCTCTACCTTTCAGTACTCCCTGTGCAATGAGCCGCTGATCGAGCTCTCCAACCCAGGCGCCAGTGGCTCCCTCTTCTATGTCACCAGCGACGACGAGTTCATCATCAAAACTGTGATGCACAAAGAGGCTGAATTCTTGCAGAAGCTGCTTCCTGGCTACTACATGGTGCGTGGCCTGCTCCCCAGATGCTGCAGGGTGGTGGGCTTAGGGAAGGGAAAAGGAAGAGGAGGGCTTGGCAAGGCCTAGCCCAGCTCCCCAGCCCCTATCCCACTCTACCTACTGTCATACACAGCCCCTCCACTTTGCTCCGACCCCTTTACCCTGGCTGGTGGGAGTGGGCACCTAGGAGGCAGGTGTACAAGTATTGCAATACAATCAGATGTATTGCCTCCCTCAGGCAGGCAACCCGGGCAGGCTCCCAGACACACCCTAAGGAGCCCTGTTACCAGGTATTCAGGACCACCCTCCCCTCCTCCTATAGCTACCAGCTCTGGTGGCTGACACTCACCTGGCTTTCCAGCCCCACCCTGCCCAACCCCTGAGTGTTGAGTCCCAGAAACTATGGTCCATAGGTTCCCTCAGCTGCCATCAAGGCCCAAGCAACCCAAGGGTAACTCAGTTACAGAAATGAGGGGGATAAGCTGCCAGCTGGTGCCTCACCAAAGACCAGCTGCTAGTGCAAGCAGTGCCGCCTGCCTCTCAGCCCTTGTGGAAAGGGCATATCAGGCTCTGGGAGGGAGGGACAAGAACCTCAGACTACAGGGCTTTCATCCTAGCCTTTGGGATGTGGTAATCATCTGGACAAGGGTGGGGACCCCCTGAATGGCCAGGCCTGAATCACTGCCGCCCTTCTGGGCAATTCAGCATAACCTGTGTCTCAGTTTCCCCTTTGTGACATCTTTCATCTGCTATTTATGATGCTTAGGATGAGACTCTGGTGTCTGTAGATCAGAACTCAGCAAACTTGATCTGTGAAGAGCCAGATAGGGAGCATTTGGCCAGGCAGTATCTGTCTGCATGGTTCAGCTCATGGTTAGTGGCATAGGAGCTATCCTATACAACACATGAATGGATGGAGCATGGCTGTGTGCCAGTAAGACTTTATGTGGTTAGGTGAGGTGGCTGACTCCTATAATCCTAGCTCTCTGGGAGGCCAAGACAGGAAGATCACTTGAGCTCAGGAGTTTGAGACCACCCTGAGCAAGAGCAAGACCCAGTCTCTACTAAAAATAGAAAAACACTAGCCAAGCATGGTGCGGGGTACCTATAGTCCCAGCCTCTAGGGAGGCTGAGGCAGGAGGATCACTTGGGCCCAGGAATCTGAAGTTGCTATGAGCTAGGCTGATGCCACAGCACCCATAGTCCTGGGGAACAGAGCGAGACTCTGTCTCTAAAAAAAAACAAAAAAACTTTATTTATAGATGTGAAGTGTGAATGCCGTATCATTTTCACATGTCACAAAATACTATTTTTCTTACAATATTTTTCAAATTTTTAAAAATGGAAAAGCTGGCTCGGCGCCTATAGCTCAACCGGCTAAGGCGCCAGCCACGTACACCTAAGGTGGTGGGTTCGAATCCCCAGCCCGGACCCGCCAAACAACAATGACGGCTGCAACCAAAAAATAGCCGGGCGTTGTAGCGGGCGCCTGTGGTCCCAGCTACTTGGGAGGCAGAGGCAGGAGACTCGCTTGAGCCCAGGAGTTGGAGGTTGCTGTGAGCTGTGATGCCACGGCACTCTGCCCAGGGGGACAGCTTGAGACACTGTCTCAAAAAAAAAAAAAAAAAAATGGAAAAGCTAGCTCAGCACCTGAAGCTTAGTGGTTAGGGCACTGGCCCCATACATCAGGGCTGGCAGGTTCAAGCCCAACCAGGGCCTGCTAAACAATAACAACTGTAGCAAAAAAATACCTGCTAAACAATAACAACTGTAGCAAAAAAATAGCCAGGCATTGTGGCAGGCGCATGTAGTCCCAGCTACTTGGGAGCCTGAGGCAAGAGGATCTCTTAAGCCCAAGAGTTTGAGGTTGCTGTGAGCTGTGACACCATGGCACTCTACTGAGGGCAACATAGTGAAACTCTATCTAAAAAAAAAAAGGAAAAGCCATTCTGAGCTCAAAGCCATACAAAAACAGATGGCCAGCCAGATTCAACCATAGGCTGTAATGTGCCAACCCCTGCCCAGGATAGCACCTGGAGGCAGGGCCCCTCCCCTCACTGGCAGGGATTTTCCCTAGGGCTTTGACACTTCTGAAAATGTCTCCCAGGGCTTCTCCCTTTAGGGGTTGGGGAAGCTCTCACTTCATCCAGGTGGCACCTGTTTACCCTGTGTATGGTCAGAGTGGGGATAGGGACCCAGATATTGGAGTGAGAACCCAATGGGATTAGTCTAAAACAAAGTATAACAAACATTGGCATGTGTGAGGACAGAACAGGTTGTCACTGTCGGCATCCTCAACTTCCAGCCCCCAGACCTCTGATGGGTACCCAGTTGGGTAACACCTGATCTGTGTAGGTAGCAGGGAGTATGGGAGCCTCTGATAGAACAGAACTGCCTCCCCTGGGCCTGGCTCTGTGGGAATAGACCCCTTGGAGCTCACAGAGCGAATTTGGGCCACCCTGCTATGTGGGGCAGAGTAGGGGTGCCGCTCAAGTCTAGGGGAGAGTCTGTGGGGCAAGTGTAGTCGTAAGCCTCTGCCTTGCCTCTCTGGTGCCCACGGCTCCCTGTCCCAGGCCACTCTCTATGGCCCAGCTGCCTCCCCCCAACTCACTCCCCATTGCCCACAGAACCTCAACCAGAACCCGCGGACACTGCTGCCCAAGTTCTATGGGCTATACTGTGTGCAGTCGGGGGGCAAGAACATCCGAGTGGTGGTGATGAATAATGTCCTCCCACGTGTGGTCAAGATGCATCTCAAGTTTGACCTCAAGGGCTCCACGTACAAGCGGCGGGCAAGCAAGAAGGAGAAAGAGAAGAGCATCCCTACCTACAAGGACCTAGATTTCATGCAGGACATGCCTGAGGGGCTCCTGCTTGATGCCGACACCTTCAGTGCCCTGGTCAAGACACTACAGCGGGACTGTCTGGTGAGGCCACACCCGCGCCCTGCCCTAGCCCTGTCCCAGTGGCAGTACCTGGAGTAGCCCTGCCCCAGTGCCCAGAGCAGCTCTCATCCCAAGTAGGAGCCATGCAACTCTGTATTTGCAGCCTTAATCTAAAACCTGCCTCCCAGACCTTGAGAGCTAGGAATATCTGTGCCACCAAACAGTTCACACAGACGTCACTGATGTATGTGGTAATGATTGCATCAGGGGACAGCACAATCTCAGGATACCATAGTCCTGAACCCAGAGTACCCTAGACCTACAGGCTACAGTGAAAGTGGGTGTCTCTACCTGTCTGGGCCCCAGTAGCCAGGAGGGGTAGAGCAGAGGAAAGGGGGCCCAACCATTCAAGGGTAGATAGAGCCTGGGGCCACCTATGTCCTTCACTCTGCCCTGGTTGCCAGACCCCTTGAGAACTTGACTCAGCCCCCCTCCCAGATCAGGAAAACCACCCAGACATTGAGGGGCCTCCTGGCTTTCCTGGCCTATCCCCGAGCCCTAAGTATCCATAAGCTTAGCTTCCACCTCTCTGGTCAGAGCACATCCTTGTCCTTGGGACTTGTAGGAGGTAGTCAGAGTGTAGGTTCAGGCCCTCTCTCCAGAAGGACCAAAGCCAGGAAGAAAAGTCCCTGTCCCAGCCCCAGGGGTGGCCTAGCATTGGATTAGAAGCTTGCACTCTAGGGTTCAACATCCAGGTTTGATGCCCAGGGAGTGATCATGGCCCATCTGGTCCCTTGAGATAACCAGAGTCCCCAAGTGGCATAGGATGATCACTCAAACCCCATGTACATGGGTGGATTCTGCCTACTGCTGGCCATGGCCCGAGGTGTCCAGGGTTCCCACACCGGGTATAGGAGCCCATGTCTGGAATGGGGATGCTGACCAAACCCCCCCTGCCCGGCAGGTGCTGGAGAGCTTCAAGATCATGGACTACAGCCTACTGCTGGGAGTGCACAACATTGACCAGCATGAGCGTGAGCGGCAGGCCCAGGGCTCCCAGAGCACTGCAGATGAGAAGCGTCCCGTGGGCCAGAAGGCACTGTACTCCACAGCCATGGAGTCCATCCAAGGCGGGGCTGCGCGTGGGGAGGCCATTGAGTCAGATGACACGTAGGTTGGAGGGGGGAGCCCTCTAGTTCCACTCTCCTCTTCTGTGCCTACCAGGCTTCAGTCACTGGCCCTGTCCGTTCTCGTTACCAGGTGTGAAATCAGGCCAGGGGCCAGTATGAGTCATGGGGTTGTCCATAATGGGCAGAGTAGCAGGGAGCCCAGAAGGTACTCTGTGCCTGGCTCCTTGGGGTGAAATGAGAGCAGCAGCTCCTGCTACCCAGGCTGTTCTGTAGGGTGAACACAGTAGCTACAGAGCATTTCAGATCAGTCAGTGGTGGGCCGAGGCCATCTGCCATGCACATGAAAAGGATACAGGTGTCTTCCCTTCACTGCACCCAATATGGGCCAGTGTGCCGCCAAAGTGGAACAAAATAGAAGGTGTAGGAAGACTGCACAGGGAGATGTGGTGATTTAGAATAAAGTAGACCTTTCATGGCAAAAAATAAAATCTACAGGGTGGTGGGATTGAACAATCTGATTGCAAAGAAAGTGGCTCCACAGATGTGATTGCAGATTGGAGAGAAGAAGAGGATGCCATGGAGCATTTCTCCGGAGCACCTTGGCCGGATGGGGGCGGGGATCAACCTGGTCCCACCCTCAAGGGCCCGGGCTTTGGTCAAGAGACAGACTCATAATCTCTCCCAGGACACTGTGGACATGAGGCCGGGTCATTCTCCTGGGCGCTGCAGGGTACTAAGCAGTGTCTCCCACCTATTCCATGTAGGAGCTCCTCCCCAGTTATGATAGCCATAAATGTCCCCAGACAAATGGTGTTCTGTTGTGGGGAATGGAGTTGCAGGTAGGAATCAACAATATGACAGTGTCAAGATTGTCTCCTGGTCACTGTGTACCAACTCTGTAGGAATGGGCAGGAGCCTCTACTTGAGTTACTTGGTTCAGTTTTCAGGGACTTGGAGCAGGAAGGTAGAGTCCCCCATTTTCTTTTTTTCTTTTTTTTTTTTTTAGACAGAGCCTCAAGCTGTCCCCCTGGGTAGAGTGCCGTGGCATTACAGCTCACAGCAACCTCCAACTCCTGGGCTCAAGCGAGTCTCCTGCCTCCGCCTCCCAAGTAGCTGGGACCACAGGCGCCCGCCACAACGCCCGGCTATTTTTTGGTTGCAGCCATCATTGTTGTTTGGCGGGTCCGGGCTGGGGATTCGAACCCATCACCTTAGGTGTACGTGGCTGGCGCCTTAGCCGGTTGAGCTATAGGCGCCGAGCCGAGTCCCCCATTTTCAACTAAGGAAACAAAGCTGCTCCGAGGTTGGGGCAGCTATTCCAAGTGCACACCTAGCTGGGGACAGAGCCAAGGTTGACCCTGGCCCTAGGAGATAGTGCCAGTGGCACTGGGCCTTTAGCTGCCAGGGGACATAGGGGGTCTGGGCCCATAGCCCCAGCTGGGGTGCAGGAGCAGTGCAGCATGAACAGAGGCCCCATACAGCTTCCCTGAGACCTTATTGGCATTCATAGGGTCTTCATGGGGCCTGGCAGGGAACAGGTGAGCCCAGTGGTATGTGGTGTGGAGTGAGCAGGGCACATCATATCTGGACCGGCGATGTCCAGTCGTAGTAGCTTCAGCATGGCTGGTGTTGTGTGGCTCACTAACTGTGTGGGGTGTGGATGCAGTTAACTCTCCAGCTGTACCCAAGAGCCCAGAGCCCTGCCTGTGTATGCCTTTTGTGTGTGCACGTGTGTGTGTATCCGTGCATGACTGTTTGTGGGGGGCATGTGCCCTGTGTCTTGTATCCAGGGTTCCCTCCTACTGCCAGCAGCCAGCCTCCTACTTTGAGCTGGGAAGTGTGCGGGGGCATCAGGATGGAGGCTCCCAGGTGCCAGCTGAGCTGCCTTCCTCAGGAGCAAGACGGTCCTCAAGCCTGGTGCCTCCTGCCTCTGCAGGCTGCTCACCAACCCCTCTCTCCACAGGATGGGTGGGATCCCCGCTGTGAATGGCCGTGGGGAGCGCCTGCTGCTGCACATCGGCATCATCGACATCCTGCAGTCGTACAGGTGCGGGCAGGTCCTGGTGCTCCCAGGGCCACCTCACCTTCTGTAAACTTCCACCTGGCTGCCTCCTCACCGACCCTTCAGGGTGGCATCTGGTCCCCTTGATAAGCTAAGGGGTGGGTTCTAGAAACTTTTGCTGTGGGCCACAAAGTTTCATATCTTTGACCTGGTGTCATGTGACACGAGATTTCATAATCATGTAGTCTTAAGCATGGACGTGTGCCAGAAAATCCATTAGGAACAGACAGCAGTCCTCTCAGTAGCTGCTGCCTAGAGCCAGGCCTTCAGTGACCCCTTGGCCAGTCAGCACTTCATGAGCTTCCTGTAGTGAGCACTCCTGCCCATGTGTTAGTTTTTTATTATAAGAGTCACATGTGGCCGGCCCCGTGGCTCATGCCTATAATCCTAGCACTCTGAGAGGCCAAGGCAGGTGGATTGCTTGAGTTCACAAGTTCAAGACCAGCCTGAGCAAAAAGCAAGAGCCCCCATCTCTACTAAAAATAGAAAAACTGCAGCAAGAGAATCATTTGAGGCCAAGAGTTGGAGGTTGCTGTGAACTATGATGTCATGGCACTCTACCCAGGGCAACTCTGTCTCAAAAAAAAAAAAAAAAAAGAGTGACATGTGCTTACCTGGATCTTTCAAACACAAGGTAGGAATAGTATGCTGGGCCATGTTGCTGAGCAGGGAGCCCCCTCCTCCCCTCTCAGGAATGCTGCCACCTATTAGGTGTATTCTTCTTTGGTGGCATCTCCATTTTTTAAAAAGTGTCAAAATGGCCCCTGAAGATCCTCCTGGAAATGTTTTACAACTGTTCTCTCCTAAATGACAGTCGGCTATATCCCCTACAGGGTACTGCCTTGGATGTGGAAGCAGGATTAGGCGGCTTTGGGGGCAAGAAAGGCAGAAAGCAGCCAGGTCCCAGGCACCTGTGAACTCCTCCTGGGACCAGGCTGTGCCAAGGGAAAGGACCTTCTCCTCCAGACTGGGGGCATCAGGAGTGCTGCCTGGAGGAGGAGGCTGGCTGGCAGCACAAAAAAGAGCAAAAGGGAACTGGGCTTAGTCTTGACTCCAAGGAGAGAGCGTAGAGCTCCAGAGGGCTCTGACCTGTATGTCCTCACTGCCATGGTGTGTACTGGGCCCTTCCACTTCCTCCCCCAGAGCAGCACTGGTGGAAATGCATAGGCAGATAGGGTGGCACAAGAGGCAGCAGGAAGGAGGGCTGACTGATGCAGTAGCTGAGGTCTCAGTTTCTCTAGAGCAGGGTCTCCTCTGGGCACTGTGGACTTTGAGTTGGATCATTCTCTGGGCTAGGGCCATCTTGGGCCCTGCAGGGTGCAGAGCAACATCCCTGCCTCCACCCACCCTGGGCCTGGAGCACCTCCATCCTGAGTTTTTGTTTGTTTGTTTGTTTGTTTGTTTGTTTTTAAGACAGTTTCACTTTGTCACACCTTGTAGAGTACTATGGCATCATAGCTCACAGTAACCTCAGATTCTTGGGCTCAAGTGATTCTTTTGTCTTAGCCCCCCAGTAGCTGGAACTTCAGGCACCTGTCACAACACCCAGCTATTTTTAGAGACGGAGGGTCTCACTCTTGTTCAGGCTGGTCTCGAACTCATGAGCTCAAGACTATTTGCCCGCTTCCGCCTCTCAGAATGCTGGGATTACAGGTGTGAACCACAATACCCACCCCTCCATCCTAAGTTTTGACAACCACAGATGTCTATGAACATGGCTCAGTGTCCCCTGAGGTTACAGAGTCATCCTGGTAAGACCTGGACTCAAGGGCTTGGTTTGTGTGGACTGATGTCCCATTTGGGTGTTTCTTCTTTGCAGGTTCATCAAGAAGCTGGAACACACCTGGAAGGCTCTTGTCCATGATGGAGTAGGTGCCTTCCCCTCCTTTCTCCCTCCCTCCTTCCTTCGTTCCTTCCACAAATGTGACCACCTCTTTGGGCCAGGCACCAAGGACCAATGTCTCTGGCCACAATCTATAGAATCCAAGATCCCCCAAAACTTCCCCATATCCCTTAAAGAGAGTCCACACAGGAGCTTGGAGAATGTGCATTTAGAAGGTGAGGGTGCCCTATGGTGTAGTGGTCAGCTCTCTGGACTTTAAGAAGGTCAGAGTATTTTCAGGGCAAGGGGCCACCAGGTCATAAACCTCACCAAGGTCTGGGTCCCACTGCCCATTCAGACAGGATTGCTGTCTGGTCTGTACTGTGCTATTGTCATACACCCTGGGGCTGTCCTTGTCCTCCAGCCCAGAGTGGCCAACCACCACATCCCTTTCCAACTTGAGGGGAGCCAAGGAAGGGCCTACGCCTCCCTCTAGGGCAGAGAGTTTATTTCAGTTCTGGCTCTTGGACCCCTCACCCAGAGGAAACTATGAAACATGTTTTCCTTTTAGAAGGCTATGTATACAGAGGAATTCAATTATATCACAGCAGGTGGTCTCAACCAGGTGGTCTTTCCCTTTCTGGCCACATCCGTGGACATGTATAGTTGTCACGAATTGGGGGTACCCCCAGCACAAAGACAGAGGCCAGGGATGCTGCTTAGCACCCTGTAGGGCAGTGGTTCTCAACCTTCCTAATGCCATGACCCTTTAATATAGTTCCTCATGTTGTGGTGACCCCCAACCATAAAATTATTTTTATTGCTACTTCATAACTAATTTTGCTACTGTTAAGAATCATAATGTAAATATCTGATATGCAGGATGGTCTTGGTGACCCCAGTGAAAGGGTCTTTTGACCCCCAAAAGGGTAGCGACCCATAGGTTGAGAACTGCTGCTATGGAGCCTAGGACGGCCCCAGCCACAGCCAGTAATGATCTGGCCCAAAATGTCAGGTGTGCCAAAGTTGAGAAACCCTGATGTATAGGACAAAGACAGTGATCCCAGAACAGCAAGGGAACAGTGCGCTGGGCTCCTGCCTTATGTCCAGGTCTGGGACATTCAAGTCAGTTCAGCCTAGGGAACACCAGCCTCGGTTTATGCTCACTTTTGCCTTTGGAGGATAAAAGCACCAGAGACAAAACAGAAATATGCAGGATCAGGCAGGGCCCTCTGCCAATAAAACTTTATTGACAAAGCAGTTATGGGGCTAGAACTTCACCAACTCCTGTTTTAGAGAATTCTTATGGTTTCTTTAGTACTTATTTATTTTTTCCTTGAATAATTACTTTATTCACATGGTTCAAAAAGTGAGAAGTACAAAAAGGGTTTATAGTGAAAACTGTCCCTCCCACTCTATTGCCTGCTACCCAGCTTTCCTCCTACAAGGGAACCACTGTCCCCTGTTTCTTGGGTCCCTTTCCATTACTCTGTGGACCTATCTCTTCCCTTTATACACAGGAGAGACCTCCCCAGCCTTGCCCAGCATATAGTATGAGTCAGCACATCCAGGGTAGAGGCAGAGCCAGATGCATCCCACTGCTAACACACTCTCTGCCCCTTACTGTCTTTCAGGACACTGTCTCTGTCCACCGCCCCAGCTTCTATGCTGAGCGCTTTTTCAAGTTCATGAGCAACACGGTGTTTCGGAAGAACTCCTGTAAGCTGCCAGAGGCTATAGGGAGGGGGGCCTAAGGTGGTCAAGAGTTGGGTGAGGTGCATTCAGCCCAGAGCCCCATTGTTCTACCTAAGGGCCTAACAGGGTTGTAGGGTGTTTGCCTGTTACAGGAGTGTGGTGCAAGAGCCACGTTGTCTGGGCCTACATCCACAATCTTGGCACAGCCTGGTCTTGAGCCACAGTGCCACTCTGTGCCTTGGTTTCCCCACCTGCACAGTGTGTGTGTACATGGGACAGCTGGGCCTGGCTGCCTGCAGCATCACTATAGCTCAGGAAATGTGTCCTGGGCCAGGGCACTGGACGTGGTCACAACTCAACAAGGTAAGGTTAGGGAAGTCACAGGATAAACAGTGACAGGGAAGGTGAGACTCAGGGTTCACTTGGAGAGTGCCCAAAGGAGGTCTAGGTCCTCTCTGGGACTCAGTTTTCCCTTCCTAGGATGCTTTAGCATCTGAACCCAGACTCAGGGTCGCAGACCCCAGCCCTTGCCCCCTTCTCACCCCCCACTGACAAATAGGTTCTTCCAGGGATCTGTTTGTCACCTTCCCTCCCCTCTCAGGGCTCTTCAGGCCAGGGCTAATGGGTCCTGCTCACTCTCTCCATAGCATCCAACACAGGCCTGGCACTTCCAGGAGGCAGGTGGGCACACTTTTCCAGCCTGGAACCAGGCCCAGTCCCTGTCCCTGGGGCCAGCTCCTTGCACTTCTATTCCTTGATCCCTGGTCAGGGGCCTCCCTCAGTACTTTACACCGTGGGATTTGTCCAACACTACACAGCCCACACTATCTCCCAAGAGCTGGTTTTCCAGCAGAACAGGTCTTGAACCCTTCTGTTTTCTCCCTTCTCCCTTGATATCATTCCCATAGTTGTCCAGGGGTATCTACCAGCCTTCGGTGATAATATAAAGCTGTGTAAGGCAAACTCACTTTTGCACCTAGACTCACATTTACACCACATGTGTCAAAGAGACAGTGTCAGGGGACAGTGTGGTAACCTGGTTCCCCAGCACCTCGTGTGGCAGAGCTGGGCTTTTTTACCATGTGGTTCTGCTGCTTCCCAGCCTTAGGGCCATGCAGGGGGCAGACCAGCCAGGCACAGAAGATCCCTTGGGTAGGTGGTGGTAGCCTGTACCAGTGCAGACCAGGCTTGTGTGTAGGGGGACCTGGGAGGCAAGCGGGGATCCTACCTGGGCTTTAACATGCCCCCAGTAACTCTGAGCACCAATACCCTTTCCCCTCCTACTTCCGCAGCCCTGAAATCGTCCCCATCCAAGAAGGGACGTGGGGCCTTGCTAGCTGTCAAGCCCCTGGGGCCCACGGCTGCTTTCTCTGCCAGCCAGATCCCCAGTGAACGGGAAGATGCTCAGTATGACCTGCGGGGGGCACGCAGCTACCCCACACTGGAGGATGAAGGTGAGCAGAGAGTGGTGTGCAGTGGGTATATACAAGGGGCCCCAGAGCCCAGCAGCAGCCTAGAAGGAGGTCTCTGGATGCTGGACCATGCACCCAGGGGAAGAAGGTTCACAGTCACCCTCTCAGGGATCTACAGAGCTGCCAGAGACTGAGGACCTGGAACTGGGCCCAGGGCAAGAGCCGTTGGGAGATCTGAACATAGAAGGCACCACCAGGAAGGTGACAGGGTCCCTCCCAGCCCCAATGACTCCAGTTAGGGAGGGCTGGGAGAATAGCATGAAGCAAGGGGCACAGCCTATGCAAAGGCCCTGGGGCAGGACTGCTCTGACTGACATGTAGAAGACACTGTCATTCCTAGGAGGAATCCCCTGTGGTTGAAGCAGATGTGCGAGGGGGGAGAAGAGAGACGGGAGAGCCTTCCGCTCTATTAGGGGTTGGTTTTGTTTTGAGAGTTGTAAGAAGCTATTAGAAACCTGTGCAAGGGGGAAATTCACCCTGATTTGCCTTGTTAGGAGCTGTTTGGGAGGTCATGCGTGATGGCTCACACCTGTAATCCTAGCACTCTGGGAAGCTGAAGCAGGTGGATTGTTTGAGCTCAGGAGTTTGAGACCAGCCTGAGCAGGAGCCAGACCCTGTCTCTAAAAACAGCCAGGTGTTGTGGCTCATGCCTATAGATCACTTGAGCCTAAGAGTTTGATGTTGCTGTGAGCTATGGTGTCATAGCACTCTGCTAGGGGCAACAAAGTAAGACTCTGTCTGAAAAAAAGAAAAGCTGTTTGGGGACGCAGGAGTATGGGATGGCAGGTGGGAGCAGGCTGTGGGTTCAAGGATGAGCCCGAGGTGGTACCAGGGGAGTGAGAACGGTGGAAGGACCAGCAGTTCTTTGAGGTGCCCACACTCCCCCACCCCCACCCCCACACCCCTGCAGGCCGGCCTGACCTCCTGCCCTGCACACCGCCTTCTTTTGAAGAAGCCACTACAGCCTCCATCGCCACAACCCTGTCGTCCACCTCCCTCTCCATCCCTGAGCGTTCCCCCTCGGAGACATCGGAGCAGCCACGGTACAGGTGGGCAGGTGGGCGGGGTGGCTAGGGCAGGGGATGGGGCAGCTAAGAGTAGCAGTAGGTAGGTGGTTGTGGCAGGTTATTCTCTCATCACTTGTTTGTTACGTATTTGTGGTCTCCCTACAGGCGGCGCACACAGTCCTCTGGACAGGATGCCAGGTGAGACCCTGGGCCCCTCTTCTTCCTTGTCCTCCCCTGAGTCTCACCAGACATCCTCTGCTGCCATGAATCTCTGGTTCCCACCCAGAGCCCCTCTGCCTCCTGACCATTCTCTTTTGGGAGTGGGTTTAAGGTTGAGCTAGGCTGTTCTGGCTTGTTGATCCTTCTTTTTTTCTTCTATTATTCTTTTTGAACTTAAAAAGTACAAGAGAGACTATGCTGAAATGCCTCCTTCCTGCCCATGCCAGTCCCATCCCCATGAGCAACCTCTGGGACTGTGAGTTTTAGACATTTTGTGAGCACAGAAGCAAGCATATACCCAGGCTCTAGTTCCTTTCTATTTTGACACAAACAGAGCCTTGCTCTTGTCACTTTGGGAGGCCACACATGGCCTCAGAACCTGCCAGCCAGGCCTCAGACAACGTTGACTGAGATCCTTCTGGCAGGTAGGAGACTTCTGAGATGGCTGGTGCTCTTCCTTCCAGGCTGGAGTTAGTGCTAGGGGTAGGTATTTCAGTTATTTGTTCTTGTTAACACCAGTGCAGTGAATAGATATTATTTTCCTTAATTGGTTTTTAATCACTTCTGCCTAATGTAAGAAACTCTGGGTGCCAAGGTACCCTGCCAAGGAAGCCAATCTCCTTCTGTCTGCTACCTTTGGGCTCTCAGGTGTCGACATTCAGGGAGAATATGATGCCAGAATGTCCCTACAGCCTGTTCCAGGGCCTCAGCTTCTGAGTACAGCACCCCAGGACTGTGAGCATCATCCATGGCACCTAAGCATGTTGGGGCTGCTATTTGCTCATTCCATAAATGTGCCCAGAGGACCTGCTGTGCCCTGGGTCCTGCCAGTGCTAGAATAGTGAAGAACCTAGGTTTCTCCCATGCAGACCTCAGCTGGGGTGACAACCAGAGGGGACAGGCCCAGGCTGGAAGCATCCAGGTCCCTAGCAGGCACTCCTGGGGACTGGTTGGGGGGGAGTACGAAGGGAAACTGAGGCATGACTTCCCATTGCCTCAGACCCCAGGAGGAGCCTCACGCGGAAGAAGACCTACAGCAGATAACGGTGCAGGTGGAGCCCACGTGCAGTGTTGAGATTGTGGTCCCCAAAGAGGAGGATGCAGGGTGAGAATGGCTTTGCGGGGAGGTTTGGGGCCCTTGTTGTGGCCCTGGGAGAGCTGGCAGCATCCAGAGGCTTTACAACCAAATAATTGTTTCTTACTGACTTATAAATAATGAACATGCTTTCAATTTCTTTTGGATCAGAGGCAGTGGTTCTCAACCAGCTGGGAGGATTTTGTTCCCCAGGGGATACTGGATCATGTCTGGGACACTGGCGTTTGTCATAGCTCAGTGTGTGTGTGGGGGTATTCCTGGCAAGGAGTGAGTAGCAGCCAGGGACAATGTTCAGAACCCTGCAGTGCCCCACCCCAGATAATGATCTAGCCCAGTGTTCATTGTGAGATTGTTGAGGAGTATCTCTGAACCTCCAAGCATGTAAGGACTTTTTCACCTTTTTTTTTTTTTTGGAGGCAGAGTCTATGTTGCCCTTGGTAGAGTGCTATGACGTCACAGCTCACAGCAATCTCAAACTCCTGGGCTTAAGTGATTCTCTTGCCCCAGCCTCCCAAGTAGCTGCCACAATGCCCATCTATTTTTTTTTTTTTTTTTTTTGGTTGCAGTTATTATTGCTGTTTAGCTGGCCTGGGCTGGGCTCGAACCTGCCAGCCTTGGTGTATGTGGCTGGTGCCCTAACCACTGAACTATGGGCACTGAGCCATTTTTCACCTTTTTCTAGTATCTATTTGTAATTTTTTTTTTTTTTTGAGACAGAGCCTCAAGCTATCCCCCTGGGTAGAGTGCCATGGCATCACGCTCA